ACGCTGTTTGTAGCTCTTGTCGTATCTTTAGTTATTTATTCAGAGAAAAATATAAGCAATAAGCAATTTTTTTTTCGGTTTTATTTAGATAAAATCCACAGGCTTTTTAAAACTAGAGAAGGACAGAAAAAATGTTTATTTTTACAGTCTATTATGTTTATTTTCTTCATAATATCAATCATTTTAAAAGAAGATGGATTGTATATATATATATATATATATATATATAAATAGAGTGTGTATAACGACGCTAAGAATACAATTCTTTGGAGGGTAACTTTCGGGAAAGCGTCAAAACAAGGATCAGCTAGAGATGGTATAAGCCAGTTTGGTGTAGAACTTTATTCTAAATGTGAAATTTTCGGTGATATGTTGTCACCTTCATCAGCACATTGAAAATGTTCAGTTGGTCCTAGTGGTAAAGAACACTGTCACAAACATGTTAAAAATATTAAAAAATACATTTAAAATTTTGAATAAAAACATTACAACACAACAGGTTATTTTTTCAAATTCAAACACAACAAAAAGTCTAAAATTTACAACATACCTTTTTTAGTTTCATTAATAGTGATGTTTAGAATCCTCTTTGTTACAAGATTTCTTAAGTATGATATTTTTCTTGTATTTTTATTTTCTGTATTTTCAGGTATTGAGAGGATCCTTTCTGTACCCTGTTGTAAAAATCTAGGAATTATGTTGTTTCTCCTGCATTCGTACAGGAAGATAAGCCTGTTCTTTGCTGAAGCCATTTTTGTTAGTGATGACATGTAAGTTTTCGCATGTTTAACTCCAGTGTTACCGTCAATGTTCTTTATCTGTTGTAGAAATCCCATTTTTGTAGTCAATTATTGTAAATAGAGTGTGTATAATTGTATATGAGTATGTTGTAAATTTTAGACTTTTTGTTGTGTTTGTATTTGAAAAAATACCCTGTTGTGTTGTAATGTTTTTATTCAAAACTTTAAATGTATTTGTTAATATTTTTAACATGTTTGTGACAGTGTTCTTTACCACTAGGACCAACTGAACATTTTCAATGTGCTGATGAAGGTGACAACATATCACCGAAATTTCACATTTAGAATAAAGTTCTACACCAAACTGGCTTATACCATCTCTAGCTGATCCTTGTTTTGACGCTTTCCCGAAAGTTACCCTCCAAAGAATTATATATTATATATATATATATATATATATATATATATATATATATATATATATATATATATATATATGAGTAAGAGTAAGAGTAAGTAAGAGTAAGAAACAAGAAGTACTTATGACTCGTTTGATAAAAATATATAGATATGTTTTTTATGGGTTGGACTCAATAAATGGGGCTATTGGTAAAATATTCTTTATGTCAAGCTTTCAATTATGTTTACAATCTGTATCAAGAGCTTCTAAAAAATACAAAAAATCTTATAAAGTAAAACTAGAAAAATAAATTTTAACTCACCAAATAAAATTAGTGTTGTTAGTAAATCTAAACTGCTTAACATATTAAAAAACTATTTTAAAAAAAATCAAATGAATGTTTCTCTAAGTTTAGTAATTTTGAAAAACTTTTTAACAAAAATAATTGAATTCCCGTATCACAAAATCGGTCGTGTTCGCGCATGCCGTAATTTTAGAGTAGAATTTGAATTTAATAATTACAATAATCGTACACATAAGGATATCTCCAAACTATTTATTAAAGATTATTTATTGATACATACAAAACACTGACATTTCGAACGTGCAACTCTTCAATGACGTCACGAATTATGCGCAATATCTTATCTTCTTAGTCAAAGTATCATGAGTTAAATAGCGACCAATTACAAAAAAACTCAATGTCATGAATGCCAACTTACAATTTTCATTTTTGACAATTCTATTGCCAAAAAATAAATTTTTTTTTTAAAAACTCTTTTTTATTTAGTAATAAAAAAGAAGATTAATGCATCATTTAGATGTCTAAGAAATGTAACAAGTATATGAAATATTAATTTTTTTTTTATTTGTCTCGGCTGCTACTACTCGGCTGCTAATCTGTCGACAGATTCGACATACGCACTTCACCTTCTAGATTATAATCATTCTTTTAATGACAAATTTAAAATTCTTCACATTCAAAGTAAAGGCCTTAAGCTATCTTTGTTAGAATCAATGGAAATCAACAAATTAAAAAAACACAGATATAAATCTGAATGACCAACTTGAGACAAACAGTTCTCCCCTCCTCAACCTATTTCATTAGAGACGATAAATTTGTAAACCCAAGCCAAAAATAGATCACTTGAGAAAGGCAATTAGCCGAAACAGCTGTAGTGATAAGATTTAAAATAAATTTTGTGGAAGTTTGAAAACAAAGTTTTCAGTGTTTTATTGTTACATAAAATGAATTTCCATCAAGTAACTGTCGAATCCATCAATTACTATTTTTATTATTATCCTTTTTTCTCTATCCCGATAAAGGACAACTAGCAAATCTTTGGACTCACACAACATACGTTAATATAAGGAGACTTTTCACCCTGAGAACAATTAAGTTATGTTTTTTGATCTGCTCAATTAATCAAGTAAAAACATAATATATATATATATATATATATATATAATATATATATATATATATACAAATATATATATATATATATATATATATTTATATATATATATATAAATATATATATATATATATATATATATTCTAATTATTTTCTTTGATATTTTAAAGCTTAAAAAATTCTATTTAGACCATAATGGGAGATAATCCGGTTGTAAAACCGATCTATCACACGTTTCTGCTATATTTATTACACCTTTCGGACTCTTCCGAAGCTTACGAGCAAAATAAAGATGGCGTTGCGTGTTTTTTCGGCTCTAATTAGCCGACCACTGCTTAATTTGTGATCCTGACCATAATATATTTCTCGGATTTCGACTTGAGCACGTTAAATTAAGCCATTTGTTAAAGTACTTGACGCCTCCCGAGGAAAAGAGGTGCGACTTAAGATTTCACGGAAGCAATGTTCAAGTATAGAGGTAATTTTGCGAAGATTTATACGCGAGGTACACGCCGTGTTTCTGGATTTTACAGAAATATTAGTTAATGTCTGGCTTACTGAGATTTAGGAAGTTATCCATCATTTTCTGCTTCATAACTTTCTTTCAGTAGCGTACACAAAATTCAATAAATAACAAGAAATTTAATGATAAAATGGGAGTTTTTTTCTCTTAACTCAATTTGATATGGGAATAAAGATTTTATACCAATTATTATTATCATAACATATAGGAATACTCTTTTTAATTTTACGTTAACTTTTTTATAGTGCAGTCATTGAAGCGAAAAATACGGTCTCACCTCCGAATTTTTTTACTGTGAACCGATTTGCATGAAATTTTGGAATTAGGCTCATCTTAACCTTAATTTCAAAAGTGAAAATGATCTGAACTCTGCAACCACCCTGGGGGTGGTTGCCACCCCTTCTCGTGGTGAATTTTTTTTTTCAAAATAACTTCCGATATCGATAGAAGTACTAATTTTAAGCAAAAAATCATTTATAAAGTTTTTCGAAAAATCCGATATTTTTCAAATTATTGGTATATAATAAAGTTAATTCTAGGCGGAATACGATTAATTTTAATTTTGGTGAAAATGGCACTTACGAAACCGATTGATTTAAAAGAAAAAAAACATTAGATGTTCATCTTATTTGCAATACAGCTCACTTATTTTACGTGCAAAAGACTTTAATAGCTCATTTTAAAGCTTATTTCAAGCACTACAAAAAATTAGGCTTTTTATCGATATCCGAGGTTATTTTAAAAAAAATAACCCCGAGAAGGGGTGGCAACCACTCCCAGGGTGGATGCGGAGTTCTAATTATTTTTACTTTGGAAGTTAGGGGTAAGATGAACCTAATTCCAAAATTGTATGCAATTCGGTTCACAGTAAAAAAATTCGCAGCAACAATGCTTCAATGACTGCACTATTACGGTCACATGATGTAATTTCATAGTCGTATCAAAACAAAATAAATCCTGTCAGTAACATAGAAGTTATTTATAAGTAAAGGTGATATGTAACTACTGGAAAACTGTGAAAATCATTTTATGAAAAATTACAACAAGTAATAGATTAAGTTGAGGAAGGATGATAATACTGAAGGATTTACACGGACAACTGATGATAAACTTGTGCATAAATAACAAACATTTTCTAACCTCAAATCTCTACACAAATATACATTTAACAACACACGTGGCCAAAGGTTGGTGATAGACTATGTTATATCCAATAGAGATATACATTCATCAAATGCCTAGTATTATGTAAAATTGGAATTATTATGAAATTCGCCACACCCAAGCGAGCAGCGCCAACACAAATAAAAATCAAGACGAAGGACTAAATAGGGAATTCACGGAATACTAATAGAGAAAAATATTATTAGAAAAGATTGTTAAGAATTAAATATTTGTAGCGATAAGACCATTAAAGAGAATTGAAGTACTATTATAATATTAATACCTCAATCAACCATGAGATACAAAGTAAAATTCAAGGAAATAGGGGTGAGGAAGAAGAAGAATATGCTGGCTTGCTAACATAAGAGCATGGTATAGAAAGACCTTAACACAGCTATTTCGTATAGCAACCAACAAAGTCATCATAGCCAGAATGATCTCCAACGTTCGGAACAAACAGGCACCCTAAAAAGAAGAGCCATGGGAGCTTATCATATATGCCTCAGTATCTCAAGTGTGAGTTCGTTTGTCTTAAACTAGGAATCAAACCTAACCTCTCAGCTGATAGCTAATAAAAACAATTTTTAACTAATGATATTTACCAAATTATACCATATTTACCAAATGATTAGTATCATATTTAGTAAATATGATTAGTTAAAAATTGTTTTTATTTGCTATTAGCTAAGGGTTTAAAACACAATTTATAACAAATGACAAATTTAGTCCACAACAAAAACCTCTCAGTAGAAAACAAAGATATTGAGCCAGTTGACTCATATAAATACTTGGGCCATGAGATCAGAATAAGTCGAGATAACCAAACAATCGAGCTGAAAAGAAGAATAAACCTCGCTTGGGCTGCATTTGGAAAGATAAAGAATATTTTTAGGTCTACTATTCCAATGTGTCTGAAAAGAAAAGTAATTAATCAGTTTATTTTTCCAGTGATGACCTACGGCGCAGAAACTCTGACACTCACAAAAATAACAGTGAGTAAACTACAAATTGCGGAAAGAGCAATGGAGAGAAAGTATTTCTCTACGTGATAGAATATCCAATGCTAATATACGCAAAAGATCAGGAGTAGACGTTATTGAAAGGATAACAACACTAAAGTGGAACTGAGCAGGTCATGTAGCAAGATCAGTTGATGACCGGTGGACAAAAAGAATTTTGAAATGGAGACCCCGAATACAAGCTTACAGAAATAGAGGTTGACCCCCAACGAGATGAACAGATGACATAAATAGAGTGACTACAAATTGGATTCATATGGCGCAAAATCGGACTAAATGGTAAAGCATGCGAGAGGCCTATTTTCAGCAGTGGACGTTAGAGGCTAGTTGATGATGATGATGATTTACTAAAAAAATAAAAAACAATCAACCCTGCCAATGCTTAACATGAATGGGTGAGGATAATACTTATGGCATCGATGACTTCAATGGGCTGCTTGTGTGGCCTCCCAATTAGATGTTATGTTTTCCGGAGGACTGCAGTTGTAACATGTGGGTGTAGCCTCCCAATTAAGTGGTTAATAAATTTTCATAATAAGACCAATTAATCCCGCAATAATCCGTGAATATGGTTTATAAAATCGTCAATAAACTTGAATGTGGTCAATAAACCCAAGAAAATGTAGTAGACCATAAAATGAAGCTTATAAGCATGTTTGCCTTCTTTTATAAATTTCAAAAACAGGCAAAACAATATATTCCCACGACGTAAGAAAAGTTAATTGACAGAAAAAAGAGAGAATAAATTAAATTAGCACAGATGTCATGGGATGCAGGCCTATATTATGGAATTAGCTTTTCTGTCAACATAGAACAAAATATTTGGTCTACCGAAAAGAAATAGAGAGGTGGAATATTTATTTTACTGGGCAAAAAGAGAGAGAAAAGAACAATAGAGGGCGCCAACTACTTTTTGAAGTAAAAATAGTAAAAAGAGAAACTGTTAAAGTTAAAGGAATTAATAAATTAATGAAGAAATTAAAATAAAATATTTATTTAAATGTAAGTTAATAAACGTGTGACATTTACAACGTTGCATATTAGAAAACGAGAACTGGGAAAGCTGGGAAAAATATATTTAATGCAGCAACAGAAGCACTTAAAGAGATAAAAGTATCAAACAATACCATATCAAAAAAGTAAACCACATTGTTTAAAGAAGAAATAAAGACAAAATCTGAAGAAAAGAAGAAAGACTTTTTACAATCAAAAACACGACAAACACGACAGGTATACATTTACTATAAACAAATAAGACATAAAACAAAAACTTTAGTTATAAGAGAAAAAAAAAGGAACCTGAGCAACCTAAAATTGGTCGTATTAGGCTACGAACTGTTGCCCCATTCACAATTTTCTCTGAATTTCCACGTGTAACTTCTTTTTGTTTCAAACTTAAAAAAGGCACTTGTAGGGCAGAAATTTAAGTCGAGATAGGAGGTTATTGCCGCCACGGAAACCTACTTTGCAGACTCTAAAAAAACAGAACAGAAAAGTATTTTTTAGGCAGGTTAAAAAAGTTGGAACATCGCTGGGTCAAGCTTATTTAGCAAAAATAGACTATGTTGAAAAATAAATCGGCACTTTCCCAAAGTTTTCGTTTTTCTTTTGTAGGCTAAATACTTATCGGGCCGCCGTAATAATGAGCACAATATAATGGATACGATTAAGTAAAAAATGCACTATTATACAATAAACTGGCATATTTATATTTCGTGGACCTGACAAATGCATTATATATAATTATAAGTAATTTGTTTGTTTACACATCGTGTAGGAACCTCTTCCAGTGAAGAGCTCATTTTCTTTATTACCATCTAAACACATTACAAATGTCTAATGAACACAATTTCTTTTCTCATATACAGGGTGTCTCATAATTAATTGGACATTAGCTAATGGGTGATAGCTGACATCAAAATAAAGCGTTTGAGCTCAAATTGCTTAGGCAAAATGTTGCTAGTTTTCGTTCTACAGGGTGATTCATTAATATTTTTTTATATTATTTTTAGAGATATATTAAAAACTATTCAACCGATTAAAGTAAAATTTGGTATCTTGCTATTATTGAGTATGCTTAATATGAAAATGATATTATTTTTACCGATGACAGTAGGTGGCGCCACCTACTATAACATTGGTTTATTAATGGGGCCATAATTTTTTTCCCGCCCTGTATAAACATTCTAGGAAAAAAAACATGAAATAACATTCAATTCTACACAAAAAAGGTATTCTTGTTTCAAATCAAAAAAGTACACCGTTTTGGAAATAAACGTATGTTTTAGAGACGTGCATAAAATAAAAAAATTTTACAAAAACTTTTATTCAAAAGGTCTTAAATAAAAGTGAATATTAAATGTATTAGTAGTAGATAATTTTTGCAAACAAGATGTATATGATTGAAACAATTATTTTTATTAAACCTTTGACTTAGTAACAAATTTTAAAAAAATCAGAAATTAAATTAAACAATGAAGTGAATATAAAACAATTAACAAAGTGAATAATTAAAAACAAAACGAAAAAAAATTACATTAAGTGTTTAAAATGTGCACCAATAGATAAACTACATAATATAAATATTTTGTGTAAGTTTTGTCTTATTTTAAATAATGAGTTTCTTTGGGCCATAATTACGTTAACTTCCTCTACAATATTTTGCCATAACTCTTGACGGTTATTTTTTTTATAAACAAGTGACTTTAGGTAGCCCCACAAGTAAAAGTCTAGGGGATTTAGTTCGGGACTGCGTGCTGGCCATGGGTATACACTACCTCTATCAATCCACGTTTGAGAATAAATTTCATCTAGATAATTTCTAACTTCTAGGCTATAATGTGGTGGTGCACCATCATGCATGTACCAAGAGTTCCGTTTTAAATTTAGAGGTACGTATGTCTTCTAAAAGAGTTGGTAAATCTTTTCTCAAAAATTTAGATACGTTACTCTGTCAAGCCTAGTTGGTAATTCGAATGGTCCTACAATACAATATCCAAATATGCCACACCGGATATTTATGGAAAAATCGTGTTGAAAATGATGTTCTTGAAATGCATGAGGATTTTCTGTCGCGTAGGTATGGCTATTGCGCCACTTAAATATACCCCTTCTAGTAAATGTGGCTTCATCGGTAAATAAAATTTTATTATAAAACATTGGATCGTCTAAATGCCGCCCCATCATAAACTGACTAAATCGGAGCCTTGCTGGAAAATCCTGTGGTAAAAGATTCTGTACTGGAGTAAAACGATACGGATACAGATTTTCTGCCCATATTATTCTTGACACCGTAGATTTGCCTATACTAGTGGCCGCAGAAACAAGCCTTGTACTGGTTTCTGGATCTTCTGCAACACGCACAACAATTTCATCCTCCATATCCGCATCAATTACTCTCGGTTTTCCAGCATTCCTGTTTTTGGGATGAAATGACCCTGTTTCGCCTAATCTGTCGAACAATGATCTAATAGTTTTATGGTTTGGTTGCCTTCTATTGGGATAAAGTTCGAAATAGAGTTCAGCTGCTTTATGAGAACAAAAATTTTCCTGGGCATACAAACAGATCATATCGCGCATTTCTACATAAAAAATTTACTATGACGTGGCATTTTTCCTTTATCTTAAGTGTTTTATAAGAAACTTAATAGCACTTTGACAAATAATGACTCACACTGCACTTTGACAACTAATAATAAATAAATTCGTAGTTACCTTTGACAACTAATAATAAATAAATTCGTAGTTACGTCTTGACGTTGTCATTAAGTTCAAAGCATACTTGCTTTGTAAAAAATTAAATAGAGACATGCATGATTAACAAAATACGTTTATTTCGAAAACGGTGTACTTTTTTATGTGAAAGAATAAAAGTGAAAGTGAAAAAGTTATACTTCTTTAAGTGCAATTGGGAAAAATGTTGAGAGTGAATTTTTATAAAATTTAATGTAAATTTTTAACATAAGAGTCAATACAAAACACAAACATGCAACAAAAAATGTGTTTAATATAATATGTGTTTCTTTTAGCTACATTACTTAGTTTGACAACTCCTTGGCATGCTTAAAATTAAATTATTAACCTGTAGCAGTGGTAAATGGAAGAACAATAGGTTCTAAACTGAGATTGAGCCTTTTACAAAAACGGGAACAGTTCCATAATGAAAGGTTATTCAGGCCCACATTATAACTTAGACCACTATTTGTAGACCACTATTTGGACGAACATCCTGTATATGCCTTAGCCTCTCTTTTCATGCAGGTTCTCTCCAAACCCTTACTCTATATTAATCAGGGTAGAGACAAAACCTAGCTTCATCTGTGAATAACACAAAACTCCATTATTGTAAGTCCCAGTGCATATGTTCTTGTGTACACCTTAATCTGAGTCGTTAATGTCGTAACATGGGAACCCTCAATGGTTGTCTGGCGTGAAGGTCAGTTTCCTGTAATCTATTCGTTAAAGTTTGATCACATACAGTAATGTTGTAAATTTTAAAATACAGTTGGTTTTGTTTAAACATTAAATTTGTTTGGTGAATCATTTAGTTTAAAACGTTTCAGCCTACGAACTTTATTATTGTTGTCAAATAGACGATTGATGAGTGCACGGGGATGTACTTTTATCCATTCACCAGATTTGACACTGTAACTTGTAACTTTTTTTACCGAAAGTACTTTCAGATCTTTTGTGCCCTATAGTTGAATACCATATGTGAAGACGAACGAATTTTACAGAGTCGATCTCAAAACGATCTAAAATATATACTATAACAATTTCAAATCAACAAAAAAAAATATAGGTAAAAGAAAAAGTAGAAGGAGACAGAAATAAAGAAAGCTTAGCAACTATTTAGAATAGCTCGAGACAGAGACAGTTTCGCCATGTTAATCGCCAACGTCAAGGGGACTTGATAGGGCACGTTAAGAAGAAGAAGAAGGACTAGCCGACACGCTTGAGGCTGGCAATGGGATAAGACAGGGGGATTCTCTAAGCCCTCTAGTGTTTAAGCTGATCATACATGAAATCATAGAAAAGTGACAAAGAAAAATGGATACCAAATGGAAAAAAAATAATTTAAAATAATCTATATCCATTAATACTAATCTCATAAAGGGAAGAGGATTAACAACGTATGCTTTACCAATTCACTCTAACAGTCATAATGATTGTTTCACCAAAAAAGACAAACAACATTATTATAACAGTAAATCTAATAAGACGCA